TGCCACAGCCACGCAACCTCTGTCCCCGCTGCTGGTCAGATGTCTGCCCTCCGCACAGCACCATCGCTGCCCGCGGCTCCAGGCCGGGCCGGGCTGTCCTTGTCCGTGGGGTCCCATGGCCTTCTCCCCAGCCCTTCCTGGCTAGGCTCTCCCCTAATGGTGCAGCGCTGACCTGGTCACCTCTGCTGAGTGTCCAGCCAGGGGCCCTGTCCTCGCCGCCCCTCGAGACTATCCGACCTCCAGGCCACCACACCTTCCCCTCCAGGCCGGCGCCCGCTCCCTCGCACTGTCTCCCGAAAACCCCCTCCCAGCCAGCGTTGCCCTGGACTCCGGCAGGTGTTGTACGAGCCCTCCAGGCTGTGTAGCTGCGATCTTGCTGCAGGGATGCGATAACCTACTTTAATGAATCCCTTTCAAAAGGGCCCAGGCCTGAGGGGAGGGCAGTCGACAGGGGCGCTAACTCCCCGGGCTCCCCGGGCTCCACTGGGCGCCTGGCCCATCCGGCTCCTCATCCCATTGGGGAGTCCCTTCGTATGGGATCTGTTTACAAACCCAGCGCTTGCCTTTGCTGGCCTGGAAGGGCGGAGGGTGCCTGATCTGCCTCGGGGCGGGTGGTAGGGCCTGGCGGGGAGTGCTGTGAGTGGTGCTTTCCGGCTGGCCCCCCCAAGTCAGGGCGCAGTCAGGGTGTCCACAGACTGCGCTGTGCCCGGCGGACTCCGCTGTCCAGGGGCGGCTTGGAGAGGGTGCCACGTCCCCGCAGGGGGCCAGCGGGCTGGCCTGGGCCCACGAGGTTGGGGGAATGGCTGCCCTCCCAGGGCTACGATGTGTGATGTCTCGCCCAACTGTGGCCTCATTCTCTGTCCCTGCAAACAGAGGCGTGAGGGCGGGCCCTGCCTGCCGGCCTTCCCACCAGGACTGTTCTGGGGACTCACGTCCACGGAGAGCCCGACAGTGAGAGGGAACCGTGGGCAGAGGGGGCTCTGAGCTATGATCGTGGTGCTGGTGAGAGTGCCGGGCATCAGGGCAGAGCGAGCTGCAGAGACACGGACACACACGTGAGCACATGCAGGCACACGCAGCTGATCGCACCCACTGGCTGCCGTCTCCCCTGCCTCCCAGGCATCACGCGTGTGCAAAGACTTCCTGGGGAAGGGGCGGTGGCCTAGGCACACGCACACCCCAGGCACATGCTGAGGAAGCTCTGAGGAGCGGCCGGGCCTGAGAGAACAGGAGGCGCTCGGGGTGGGGGCTGCACCCCTGCACGCCCGGCCCTCCAGGGCACAGAGCTCGGGGGGTGGCAGGTCGGGCGGGGCCACGCAGCCACGGTTGGTTGGGTCCCACTTCCACCTCAGGCCGTGCCTCTCACCCCGCACCCCAGCCCACTGGACAAGGGCAGCAAGGGCAGAAAGACCCCTCAGAGCCTCAGAACCACACGTGGAGGTCTGGCCTCCACAGGGCACGGGAGGCCAGCCCGGAGCCGGGTTCGCGGCAGGCTGAGCGGGTGCTTGGGAGGGAGGGCCGCGGCAGGGGCCGGACTTCTGGAACCCGAGGGGTTGGCAGCCAGGCCCAGCCGTGGCGACTGTGGACAGGGCACCAAGGACTTCCAAACGTGCATGTTCTGTGCTTCTCAGTCGGATTTCTCTGCCCACGGATGACACTAGTCTGGAAAGCGGAGTGCGGGGAAGTGTTGTTAAAAGCACAGCAGACGTGTGAGCCAGACCCAGTGTAGGTCTCGGTGTGAGATCGTTCTACAAGGTGAGGAACCGCCGTGGCGACTGTGGACAGGCCACCAAGGACTTCCAAACGTGCATGTTCTGTGCTTCTCAGTCGGATTTCTCTGCCCACGGATGACACTAGTCTGGAAAGCGGAGTGCGGGGAAGTGTTGTTAAAAGCACAGCAGACGTGTGAGCCAGACCCAGTGTAGGTCTCGGTGTGAGATCGTTCTACAAGGTGAGGAACCGCAGGGGCTGCGGGAAGGTGCGGTCACATGGGGTGGGGTCATGAGGGGAAAGGTGAGGGGCTGTGGGACGGTCAGGAAGGCCAAGGTGGCCCCTCAGAGTGGCTTGTGGTGGCTGGGGGTTGAGCTGGGCCAATGCTTAGTGGGCACGAAGGGGAGCCCCCCTCTGCGGGCAGAGGACGCCCCCTCCGACACTCCTGAGACCGGCCACCAGGCTGCGACAACCGAGTGCAGCCCGGGGGCTTCTGGCTGTCTCGGAAGTCCCTGCAAGTCGCCAGCAGCCCGTGGGGGCAGAGCGTCCCTGAGGACTACCCGGCCCAGGGGGCAGTGTGCAGAGCAAGCAGTCCCCCAGGATGAAAGGACCCAGCTCCGGGTCCCAGGGAGCGCTTTGGGCCTGGTCAGTGCTGACCGTCAGAGTCCACATGTCATGGTTCTGTGTAAAACTCAGTGACGCAAACCGGCAGATGTGAGTGACCCTCGGACCCTCACTGGCTGGAGGAATCAAGACCAAGGGGGTCTTAAAGCTGCAGCAGCGTGTCCTGGGACAAAGCCTTTCCCAAGTTGCTTTTCCTTGCTCCTGTCACGGAGACGTTGCCAAACTCGCCACCCACTCGCACTTACCCTGGAAGGTCGTTTTCCGGCTGCGAACCCCATCCCAGCCCCATCCCTTTATGGCGAAGACCAACCGGCCTTTACCTGTCGTTCACTCACCGACAGGGAGAGAGGGGACATGTCCCCGGCTGCCGAGGCCCTGGGCACCTGGCCGGCTGATACTCCGCGGGTGGCCTGCCGCACGGCCCTGCCCACACCTGTGAGCCAGGCGCAATGGGCCTTTTTTGAGGAACACTTTTGCCCGAACGGTAATGGTTTCTCCTGCTGACTAACCGCCCAAATGCATCGACTCTCGACCTCGAGCCTCCCTGCCTGAGCCCCGACGGCGGGGCAAGGCCGCCGTCCAGCGGGACAGTGGTGGTAGCAGGTGCCCTGTGAGAACAGGCCGCTCTGTGAAGGACACTTGGCCAGCTCGTGATTCTGGGGTCCAGGCTGGGCCGTGTCTGGTCAGGGTCTCCCTGCAGAGGCCTCTCGTGTGAGTGCCGTCAGGCTCGCAAGCACAGAGGGCCACACCCACCGCCGTCCGGCCTGGGGTCAGACTGTGCCCTTAGCCTTGGTGGGGGCATCGGCCGCGGACGCCCTTCATGTCCCACGTGGGGTTGGAACTGTGCTGTCCTTGGATGCTGGGGAGGCCCAGGGTCTTCTCTCTGCTCCTGGTGGGGACAGCAGGGGACCAGCTCACAGCTGCCCTGACCCGCTGTTTGGCCGGCCGGGCCCTGTGGCGGAGCTTCGGCCCCCCAGCCTCCCTTGGCCGGCGCCCCCAGCCAGCAGCCCCAGCCCTCCTCCAGTCCCCTCGGCCTCTGGCCATTCCCTTCAAAGGAAAATTCTCATGTCACCTTCTCCAGCCTGTAAAAAACCAGGGTTCACGGCTCGAGTTTCTCTCTGGTTAGTAGAGCCAGCTTCTAGAAAGGCTTTCCATCACCCAGCCGCGCCTGGTGCTTCTAGCAGGCAGCACTCGGCTCTGTCAGGCCCGCCAGAGCTCCCCACACCTCGGGTGGTCTCCTGTGCTCAGGGATCATGGCCTTCATCTTGGGAAAGCCAAGTGCCTGCCCAGGCCACGGGCGGGCCGGGGCAGTGGTGCCGGGCTCCACTGCAGACTTGGCAGGCAGAAAGAGCCAGGGAGTCCAGGCTCTCCCACTCCACAGCCAACAGAGAGGCATGTGGGATGCCGAGCACAGCCACAGACAAGCAGAATGGCTCCGTGCTGGGCGAGGGGCCTGCCCCATGGTGGCCCTGGCAGCTCGGCCCACAGCCGGCCAAGCACAGCAGGCTGTGGTCTCTCGCATGCCCAGCAGGGGGCACTGTTGGCCCGGGGAAGCCGTCCTTGCCAGCGGGACGCCTGTTTGTATCTCAGGAAGGAAAGGACAACACCCAGAGGATGGCCGTGGTCGGGTCCAACACATTGGGTCACTCGCTCCAGGGCTGACGACTGTCCCACGGCCAACAGGAGCAATGAAAACATGCAGTGGGTGTGACAGGCGTGGTCCGGCTTGGGGACTCGCATGGTGCCAGCCGCGGCCAGCCTCAGAGGACTGCAGTACACACTGGTTCTGTCACCTGCACCCGTGGGGCAAGGTGGTACCGCTCCTTCTCGCGGGGTGGGTCTGGGTCCCACTGCAGCCCGGGGGCGGCTGTGTGGAGGCCTGGGGACCCTCAGGCACGAGGCCAGGAG